AGCAGCATATCCTGACAGAGACATTCTATCACGCATTATTCTGTTTTGATTTTGTATGACACAGACCAAACAAACTTTATCAACTATGCGTTTATATTAATGCGTACAATTTATGTGTTCGTATTTTTTCGGCGAACTCGTTAATAACATTATTATTATTGTTTAGTTTTTCATTTTCAGGTTTTTTAATTTTTTATTATTTTTAGAATAGTTTCATAAACCACATGTTTTTAAATGAGGTTCTTTTTCTGTTGATTTACGGTTGTGAAAATTATGATACTTTCAATTCTCACCATTTTATATTGAGATTATTTGTCTTTGGATGTTTTAAAGTGGTTTAATTTAAAAGAAAATCTAATATAACGTGAAGTTAATGCAAATTTTATTAATCTGCTTGTATCATTACATCACTCAAAAATGTAAATGCATGTAATATTTGTTGAGTATCTGTAATTATATATTAAAGAAGAATGAACGTCTATTAATTTTTATTTTTCAAATACGATCTAGAATTTAAATTACTAATTTATTTATGATCATTTTTTTCGAATTTTTTAATGGGCAAATTTTATTATTTGGTTAATAATAAACGGACAGAAATCCTTCTTATAATATTTACCTGTTAATAATAATATAAACTGGAATTATTTTTTTTTTTGGAACCGGTTGTTTTTTTTGAAAGGTTAACTATTTAAAAAACGGGGAAATGGCTTTCTAAATTATTTTCGATTCCAAAATAAAATTCAATTTATTATCTGTTATTATTATCTTTATAAACCTTTAAAAAAGATCTAAATTACCTAAGATTTTTCACAACATTTATTTTTGTTTTGCATTAACTAGAGCTGCCATAATTTGTAAATTACTAAATATTTTTTTTGTTTATTTTGTTTTTTTTAGAAAAATAAATAATCGGGAAATTAGCTTATTACATGGTTAGAAAAATAAATATAAAAAATAAGACTTATTCACAAAAGTGTATATATTTTTATTTTTTTTTAAATTAACTTTGTTTTTATTTCAGTTAATTGGACTTATTTTTCATTGTTATAGTTTTTTAAATTATAACATAATATTTGTTCAAAAAAGTAGGAAGAATTGCCGAACAAAAAAGCTTTTTGAAAAAAAATATGTTTATTTAATTTATAAAACATAATTTGCGTTTTCAGCATTAAAATTAGCGCGTCTTTTTTTTAATTAACGATTAATATTTTACCAATAAACAATAATTTAAGTTTTAAAATAATGAATATAATTTTAAAATTAATAAATTTTAATATAAATTAATTTATTAATTATCTCCAACAAGTTTTTTTTATTAATAAATTATAATATATGGTAATTTTGTAATTATCAATAGAAATTATCAAACCATATTGATATAATTTATTTATATTATAAGTTAATTATAAAAGTCTTTCAAATCGCAAAATTTAACACAATTCAAAGTGACCATACTATATTTAAAAAACAGTTAAATTATTTTAATTTATGACAATTGTTTTTTGAAATAACATGTTTTTTATTTTTGGGTATTAAAAACTAAAATCTATAGGGAACATTTTTCGTAACGCGAAACAATTAATGTTTCGGTTTATTATCGTTTTTATGAGTTTAAAATCAATTCCCATTTTTTAAACGATTTGTTGTGTATTTTTTGGAAAATATAACATTTTTTAAAAATAAAACTAATTTCATTCAAAATAAATTAGAATCAAATAAATATGTACTATAATAATATGTATTAATTTACTATCAATATTAATTTTGTTATTTTAAAAATAATTTTAAATTGATTTTTGCACCAATTATATCAACAATAAACCTCAAATTTAAAAACAAAAATATGAAAAATAAATTCTACTCATATCGAATTATAAGTTTTTAAAATATTTTGAAGATTTTTGATGTATTAATTAAAAGTTAATATCTAAAGTTCATGGTAAAAAACAATTTAATTTGCCGAAATTTAAAAAAATAATAAAAGTTGGTAATCTAAAAATATATTTTATTTGTATCAAATCCCTAAAAAAATAGGTATAATTGAGACTCTTTTCAAAATATGTTATAAAGAGACAAACAATATATTAAAATAAAAGATAAAAAACTTAAGAATTAATGATTTAATCCAAATATGACTCATTTTATTAAAAATTTTAATCACAAAAATGATATAAAATCAATTTATAATTAATAAATAGAATAATTAACAACAAATAATAATTCATAATTTGAAAATTTACCTCAATTTATAAAAATAAATAATTAAAAAAATGAATAATTGATAGAAACTATTTAATGGAACTTTGCCTCATCGAGGCTATTTAACGTTTGTTTATTATCATCGATATTAACTATTTTTTAAATTTAAATCAATTATTTAAATATACTTTTTGCGTCATATCTTTCTTCTCTGTGTTTATCATATAAAATTGGTTTGCTTTGTTGTTCTAAAATGTTAAACGATCTCTCATAACTACAAGTACTCACTACTATTAATATCATATTTTCACGGATTTTATTATATTGGGATAT